GTGTTAGAAGTTAAGATTTTTCTAGATACTTTAAGAAAATATTAAATATTTATGTCTGTTTGTATCTTAGTTGCATTTGGTGTGGTTAGGTATAATTAAGTGGAAATCCATATTTCAAGAGATTTGTTTGTTGCTTGGACAAATGTTTAGGTAAAAAGGAGTGTTTATCTTTATTTTGTGGAGATTTACTGTAGCATATGATATGCATATCAGAAATCTCTCTTGTCATATATTTGATGTAATGCAACTCTACGGAGAGTGTGGAAATGAATAATGAAATTGTGTAACCACTTTTCTTCCTTTCATTGAAACAAAAAAAAAAAACCAGAAACTCAACTTCTCTGTTCCAGTTTTTTTCTGTTTCAACTTCTCTGTTCTGGTTTTTCTTAACAAAAACACTAAAAAATAAACAAAAGCAAATAACATATGCAAGTGGCTCTATGGTTCAGTATTTATTTATTCAAAGTAAACCACTAATATTTCCATTGAGATAACATAAAAAAATGTATTCAATTAAACAATGATAGAAGTTATTAATATAATAACAAGCTACTAACAAATTATTGAAATATTGAAATCACAACAGTAAGGAAATTTATAAGATGCAAATATGTTGTAGTAATGCCACAATGGATCAAAACTCAAAAGAGAGATATGTTTGGATAAGGCTGGTTTATGAAATTAAATTTACACAAAAGTTGAAATCATAATTATTTGATTCAGAAGTGTTTACCTGTAGTAGAAACTTCTTTTTTACTGAGTTGTTAAGATCATCATAGAAGACCAATTGATCATTTGACTTGATCAATCCTGCACAGAAAAATTCCATCTTGGGGCAATTCCATATGTCCACTTGTATCAAAGAGGGTAACTGCAGAGTTTCATTGCCTGAATAAAAGCATTCCAAGCTTGATAAAAAGTTTAGATCTATGCTGTATAACCGCTCTAGTTTGATTTCCCCAGTTGTTTCATTTGGCTCTTTTGCCACTATTTTTTCTATTGATTCGCAACTCCAGACTTTGATATGCTCAAGGTGTACTAACTTTTTTGCTGCTGAGGATGTGAATAAATACTTCAATCCATGACAGTGGGATATGTTCAGTTCTTTCAGATGGGAAAATGACACTACAGAAGAAGTAGAATCCACTAAAGTTGTCAAATGAGGACAGTCAAAAACATTGAATTTGTGGAGCTTCTCACAAATCATGTTTAAACATGGTAAATCCTCTGACCCGATGGACTTGAGGTCCCATACACGTCTCAGTCTCAGTATTTTCAAGTGTGTAAGCATGCCATGTTCGGGGATGCGAAAAACATCAAGACAACTGCAAGATTGTATACTCATTTCTTTTAAATTGGGTGCCTTCTGGATTAATTGAATGGGCAAAATGGGCTTCTCACTGTCATTCTCATCAACATCGAAGAACAGGTCAATATAATTTAAATGTTCGAGGTTGGCCATAAGCATTGAACTTAACACCAATGTGTGTTCCCAGTCAAGTGACAGTTCCTCAAGGTTGACAATATTCTAGTCAAAGCAAAACAATTAAAAAATAAAGAACTACGTATTAGAAGAAGAAACTTAATTTTCTTTTTTTGTCTAAATTACATGTTGCTGATTCGCATAAACTTCTAAATAAGTATTTATAGGAGAAAAAAATAGAAAAGACAAAATGAATTAATTTTCTTTCATAAGTTAAAATTATTTTATGTATAAAATAAAATCAACTTTTAAAGAAGTTAAATAAGAAAGCTTCTGTAAATTAGAGGATTTGTTACTTACCTTTAGGGCCAAGGAATGGCGTTGTATGTCAGCACTTTTAAATAGCTTCAACTTTGGGCAATCAAACACTAATAATTTATATAACACAGGACATTTCAGGGTGAATGCTTCAGGGTAAAAGTAAATGAGCTCTGGTAGGTCAAAAAGAATCAGTGTAGCTAAACAAGGGAACACAAACTTTTGTGTTACATCCGCTGCTGCATCTTCTTCCTTCCCCACAATTTCTAGCAACCCATCACAATATTCTATTTCAAGTTTGTCAATCTTCTTAAGATTTTTGGCCACAGCCACAGGAAACACAGTTTTAAGGTTTTCACAGTCACTAACAGACACTACTTGAAGATTTTGAAAGCTTTGAGCTCCTTTACCATTACTCTCCCACACATGCATAAGCATCGATAGCCCTTGTAAAGTCAATTTCTGCAGTTGGGATGTTGTTCCTCCAACCTCTGTGTCATTCATGCCAAAAATAACCTTTACATTGGAGCAATCTCGTACTTCCAGTTCTTTTAAGCTCTCCAAATAAAGAAGAATATTAGATGGAATTACACATGGTTGAATATCACTGTTCTCCAACTTCAAAATCTTCAAACTATAAAACCAACTATGAATATTTTGCGGATCAACTCCACCTTGCCAAACTTGTCGGAGCTCAGGATGTTTGGAAAGACTCATATCCTCCATGCCTTCAAAACATTTCTGCAAATATCACGAATAATTCACCGTCAGATATATCATATTCCAGTCAATCAATTAATTGTCATTCCTTTTCCCTTATTATCTTCTATATACTTTGATGATTATAAATTACTCATTTTTTATTTTAGATTTTATAAAAGAAAATTCAAAATGTTCCTGAAATATGATTTGTTTTTTCACCATTGGTCCTTGTAATGGAAATTTTTAATTTGACTAACATTTACTAATGTCAGTAAGTATCATTTCAGCAAATGATAACATCATAAAAAGTGTCATGTCAATAATGTTACATCATTAAAAGTATAACAAAAATAAAAAATTACACGGACTACATTTCTAATTTAGAAATAGTCCACTTTTGATCTTTATCAGTACTAAAAAGATCACAAAAAAGGGATTAAAAATAAAAATCTTTCCAAATTACCAAGAGACAAAAAGTAAATTTGGCCCAAATTTGAAGGGAAAAAATTATTTAAGCCAAGGTATTACTAATTTGCACTTGACTGTAATTTTTAATTCATTTTTACCATATTTTTTATTAACAAAACTTATTTATTGATTTCTCACTCGGTGCTTTCAACAGATCATATAAAAATATACTTTAAGAAAAATAGTAATTCATCAATAATAGATATGTACCCGAATCTTGTATACATGTCGTATGGTAGCATTTAAATCACCTTCCCAATATAATCTTTTTTCCTCCTCTCCATGTGTAACACATATTTGTCGTAAATTTGGTGTCTTGTTGACTTGTTCAGAGAACGTGAACATTTCCATCTTGCAACATGCACTTGCAACAACTTTTTCCAAGGAAGGAAACTCAATGGCACAACAATTGGAGCTACAGAAACTTTCAAGTTTATGCAAAGATACTAGCTCTATTTCCTTCAATTGTCTGAAAATAATATGTTCTAATTCTTCATTTTCTTGCTCTGACACAATGGTCTCCATCGATTCACATTGAATTACCTTCATGGTTGTGAGTTGAAACAAGCTTTTTGCTGTTGATGGTGTCATTAAATAACTTAGTTCTTTACAATTAATCACTTCCATATTTGTCAAGCAAGTGAAAGATACTGAGGAAGGCGCAATGGTGTTCAGACATGGACATTCCTTTAAAATCAAGCACTCTAACCTTTGAAACAGTATTGTGTCTTCTTCAAAGCCTATCATCTTAAGTGAAGGTAAGTTCATTAGCTTCAAGCTTTTGAGCTTTGGAACGATCCCTGACTTTTCTTCATCATGGCTTCTTGGAGGCACTAACTGCTCAAAGAAACAATTACTCAACAATAGGCTTTTCAGATTAGGATTTCTGTGGAGGAAAAAATATAGAATCTTTGTATCCACTAGTCTAGATAATTGAAACTCTTCTAATTTGTGCATTGGGTAGTTCTCCATATATGTCATTAATCTATTTGCATTGTGAGACTCTATTTGCATGGACTTCAAGGTGTAGAATACCTAATGACAGATGAAATTAAGAAAGGCAAGTTAATGTAAAGTAAAAATTGAAAATACATCTTCCATGTACTTGAGAAATTTGTCTTATTTTCTCCTATTGTAGTTTCCATTCTATCTCTATAAATTAGAAAGAATGCATGGGAGCTAGAAGGATGATTATAATACCTCTTCGGTTAAGAAGACTGGTTTTATTTCTCGATTTTCATTTTCTCCTCTGAAAAGTCTGAGCTTACGACAAAGTTCCACAGACAAGTTATTCAGTGTTGAACAATGTAACTTATGTGTCCCCTCATAGAACCTCTCAAGGTTTGGTAGTTTCAAAAATCTGGCTGTGGTTAGTTTAGGAAATTCAAATGAAATAATACTCACATTATTTGTTTCTCCCCTGGAAACAATTTCCTTCAACTGACCACAATTCCAGACCTCAAGGTATTCGAGTTTTTTAAGACCCGTGGCTATAGAAAATGGAAATATATGATCTAAGTTGAGACATTCTTGTACCCATATCTTTCTCAAATTTTTGAAGTTAAGAATCCCTTTTGGGTCTTCGTTCCATACATGCTCCAATTTTGGCAGTGCTTCTACATGAACATTTTGCAAGTTGGTCTTATCCTCAGGATCACGTTTTTCACAACCTTTGAGGTCAAATATCTCTTTCATTGACTTGCAATTAGTAACCTTCAAGTTACATAGACTCTGAAATCTTCCAACCATGTAAGAAGGAAAAACATTTTGAAGTTTATTACACCCCTCAATGATCAATGCATCCAATTCTCCAAAGGAATATGAAGGAAATTTTTTATGCCATATCTCTGTCAATTTCTTCATGCTTCTCAAGTTGATAATCTTCAACTTCGGAAAGATGCTTTCCTGCTTTGTTCACCATTTTCATAATTAAATTAACAACTATATTAGAGAAAATCATAGCAAATCAAAAAAAAGAGAGAGAGAGAAAAAAAATATATAACTTTCATTATAAAACTATATTTAATTTTGAAGTCAAAGGAATTTATGAATAACAATATTGTGAACCCTATGACCATGGTATGCTTTCAAAGGCCATATACTGTTATGAAATCTATTTATCCATTCAACGATTTATAAATTTTAAAGTGCAAAAATATGATGACATCTAAGCTAACTTTTTTTTTTGTCATATCAACATTTTGATTGATGTGTCATAGATAGGTTCAACACTTTACTTTCTTACTTTGTCTTCACCATTTTAATTTACATTCACATCAACAATTCTTAATTTTTTAATTATCCAAATAAATAAATAAAAATTAATAGCTACATTATACAAAATATCTATCAGTTACCCAATGTAAAAAACTTATCTCATCAATATAAAATTTTCAATAATTTTTTGTTAACGTATTCAAAACATATCATATCCTAAGTATCCAAGCTTCATAAGAGCATCTGCAATGGGGGTTGCTTATAAGCAACTCCCTGTGCCACATCACTGCCAAATCAGCACTGGCCCATTTTATGGGTTGCTTAAATTTTAGCAGAGTTGCTTCTTAGGATAGTTTGTACAAAATCTTATCTTAAAACTTTGCTACTCTTAGAATGTAGGTTTAGTTCTAACACAACCTACAAAACCGACTTGTAAAGTAAGGGTTTCCCTCTACTTATATACTCTTTGTTGGTTTTATCTTTAGTCAATATGGGACTTGGATTTTTCCCAATATACTCTCTCACGCCCAGCACTATTAGGCTTGGTGCATAAATGAATGGTATGTAACCTTATTTAATGATCTAAAATAGGTAAGACTTGAGTTTTTCCAATACACCTACTTATGCCAAACACTATTGGATTTGGTGCATGTATAAATGGCAGTGGCTCTTTTTAGCTAATTTATGATGCTTTGATACCATCTTTAAAAAGTGGATTATAGGTATAACTCAACTTTACAAAACCGGCTTGTAAAGTGAGGGTTACACCCACTTATATACTTTGTTAGTCTTATCTCCCAAGCTCTAAGATCGAGAGCTCTAATACTAAGTTGAACAGAAGGAAATTGTATATTAACTGTGTGTTGTACATTCCCTAATCTCCTTTTTTATAGAATAAATGACTATGCCTAAAAAAGGAAATGACAATAATAAAGAAATGGGGAAACAAATATCTCAAGATATTTAAAGATATTTTAGATGTCTAAATATCTATGATATTTACAACAGTTAATGTACACCAAAAACAAATGGTGTATTATATAAGAAATGTGGGCATCAGTTACATACCAAAATGAAGAATTAGAAGATGTATTATATAATCCAAGCAACATACCTCAGTTTCAATTTTACTAACTTCCCTTTCAATAAATATTCTCTCCATCATTCCACATTCACTTACGGAAAGGCTTTGAAGATTCATCAGATTTTTGGACATTGAAAGGGATAGTAGGTATGTCATATTCCCACAATCATTCACGTCCAAGTGCATCAAATTTTGAAAGTAAGGTCTTGATGGGGGTTGGTCACTCCATATTTTTTGGATTTTGATTGAGGACAGCTCCATTCTCTCTAATTTGGAAATTACAACCTGCAATGACAAACACATATAACTAGTGTGTTGATTCAATTCAAAGCTAAAGAAATTGATTTGATTTTTTTCAGGTTAATATACCATACAGGAAAAAAAATGGTTAGATAGAGACTAATATATAGCCAACTAACAAAAAAAATTTGAAGTTACTCTACCTTCTTGATTTTAACAAGTAGTATCAAATATATGAAAGTTCAAAATATAAAAGGTAAACCAAATCGACATGATAATTTTTAGCACACCTTTTCATGAAAGAGTTCACTGGGTTCCCTATTCTGCACTTGTTCTCCTGTTGATTCACCAAGGTTGTAGAATCCAATAAATTCAGACAAAGATTGTAGCTTCAAAGAGCGTAGTTCAGGAAACGTAATTTGGTCTTTAATGTCTTGCCTTTCCATGGTAACAATCACCTTCAAAGAGTTACACTCAGAAACTTCAATTGTTTCAAGGGCAGAAACATGCTTAATCATAGAAGAGAAAAATACATCCTTTAATTGAGCACACATCTTAAGCTTGATGATTTTCAATTTCGAGAGTGAATCATTTATAAGTTGACTGTGGCATATATGCTCCATGTTGTTGACTTCATAGAGAAACAATGACTCTAATTTGGGAAATGCTTTCACAAGATGTTTTTTGTTCTTTGAGTTGATGATGGACTTAACTTTCGAGTTCCTTACAATGGACAAATATTTTAAATAAGGAAATCCTTCACGATTCAATTCATAGAAAATATCTTCAACATCATTTAGCTGTCCCAACAACAAATTCTCAACTCTTTCGAACAATATTTTGATGTCCTTTTGATAATGAATGTTAAAGCCTTTTTCTAGTTGAAGTGCCAAATATCTTAATGCGTCACACGTCTCTGGCATCTTGAAATCCCACACTGGCCAATATGCATTGAAATCTCTAATGACAATCTTGTATCTATCCAACTTGTCAAAGAACAACTTCTTAGGCAAATGAGTAACTTTTGGGATCTGTATGTCTAGTGCCGTTAACTGACTCAATTTCCACAATTCAGAAAGACTAGCATTTCCACTTTGGTTTCCTTGTCGTCCTTCATCATTCCATTGAATCGGGCTATTTCCCACATACAACCCTTCCAAACAAGTCAAACTTGATAATACATCAGCAGGAATCTCTTTAAGTTTAAAACAATTAGTTATGTCAAAAATTTGTAGCTTAGCTAACTGCCTCAATTGATCAGGCAAACATTCAATGTCAGATCCTGATAAACTAAGAACCCGTAATTCCTTCAACTCTCCTAGGATAGATATATTCTCTCCTAGCTTGCATCGCTCCAAACAAAGCATTCTGAGTTTAGTTAAGCATTTAATTGATGAAGGTAAGGGTGATAGATAAATGCCGGTCAATTTCAACACCCGGAGTTCTTTCATTCCATTAAATATCCAATCTGGTATTCTCAGACGTGGATCTTTATTGTCAAGATGGAAGATTCTAAATTTGAAACAGTTTATTCCTTTAGGAAAATCCTCTATGATGTCAGTCACATCGCAATGCTGTAAGGAAATAGTAGTGTACCTTTTAAGCTTGTCCTTATCCGGCCATTCATCTAGTTTTTCCTTTGTTAGGGCAAATGCAGGCATCTTCTGAGATGCTATTGACAAAGCCGCATCACGGATAATATTTTGCATGGTGAAACATTTGCTTGAAAAACTATCAGACAACAAACTCAACTCTTTCAACTTTCCAACCAACTCATGTACTCTGTTTCTAGCTTCCCGAACAGTGTCAATTCCTTGAAGTAAACCCAAACCAATGCAGTATCTCACCAAGTCAGTAATTAATGCATCCTGACCCATGCAAGCACAAATTAAGAAAGTCTGCTTGAGTTCCTCGTTCTCTAGAAGATCGTAACTCAATTTTGTAGAAAACTCTGATATTGTCAAGTTTTGCCTTTCAAGCTCCAGATATGCATCATGCCACACCGTAAGGCTCTTATATTTTAATGCCTTTGCAGTTGTTATAATTGTCACAGGAAGCCCTTTACACTTGATGGCAATTTGAGCTGCTAAGGTTTCATACATATAATGTCCACCACGTAGTCCAGCAATGGTCTTAAACATCGTCTTTGCATCATTTTCCATTATTGCTTTTACACGAAAAATTTGAATTCTTTTCCAGTTTGTCTGACTTAACAAAACTTGTTCATTGTCAGAAATCATCAAAATTTTGCATCCTTTGTATCTAGCAAGAGGTTCCTCTATCTTCATGAAAGTGGAAGTATCAAATTCATCTGTTTTCATTGCAGAACTGTGGTGGGCCGAAGGGTTTTTCATTTTGTGATTCATGTGGCTACCGTCATTGTTCTCATACGGAATTCCCAACGCATTGAAGTCCAAATTGACCAGCATATTATCTAGGACTATAAGGGTTCTCTGCTTTGGGTTCTTTAATCTCTCCCGCAAGCGAGCTGCTCTTCCACTCTCAGATTCCTCTTCAAATTTCATCCCCAACATGTCAGCAATTTGCCCTTGAATTCTGTGTATGTCGAGATGACTTGTTACATTCACCATAATCACCACGTCAAACATGTTGCCTTTTACTTTCTCAGCTAGTTCTCTGATTAAACTAGTCTTGCCCACGCCACTCCAACCATAAACTCCAATCCCTCCAACATTCGAGTCTTTCAATGCAGCCATAATATCATACATAGTTTGATTTCTCGAGGCAATGCTCTCAAGATCATCAAAGAAATACGAGCTAAACCAATTACCAGTTTGCAGTAGTTCATTAACCCTCCCTGTAAGATCAATTACTCTTCTGCTTAGACGATACCTTATCCCGGGTCTAGGAAGGTGATCAATGGAACACATGGCATGTGGATGGTCTTCAGATTCATCTTTGGAGAAATCCTCATAGTCACGAATGATCCCATCTACCTTTTCTAACCATGTAATGACTTCATCGCGAATAGCTCTCCCAATCCTTTCATCCTCGTCAACTCTATGTTGCAACTTGTTTCTCACTTCCTGCAGATTATTAATGCCTTTGTCTAGTTCTCCAACTCTGATTTCATAAGGCCGAAGTTGATACAGTAGTGGCTTTAGATATGGCAATACCGACTTTAGATGTGGCAATAGCTTGAAAACAAATCCTATACACTCCATACTTAATTGATTTTTCTCCCGCCATCAACTACATCTTTACCTGTATGTTAATACCGAGTAATCAAATATCAGAATGTTTGAACACATTTTTGTTTCCAGTAACTTAGTTTTTATGTTAGTTTAAGTCTCTGCTATCAATAATATTAATATGTTAAAACACTCGATTCATATGGTACAATCATTTAAAATAAACTGATTAAAGTCAACTTTGAGGTAGAGAATTTAGGTAATTTGTAGGAGGTCTCAAATTCAAATCTCATTAATCATTATTGTCATTAGACCAAAAAAATCATTTAAAATAATACTATACTAGAGATGTCAAAATTTATACGAAATAGTTATAAGAACTAAGAAATTAATTTTAAAATATAAGGATTAAAACAAAATGGAGAACCTAGGGGTAATGATTGCTCACGAAGTTCAGCAGCTAAAATGGAAATCAATGTAGGTGTCAAAGGATGGATCTCATGCTATCACATCTCCTTTTTTTAGACAATGTGCTCTTATATTTGCCAAAGAGGTCTTTATAGAGGCTCAACTTGAAGAATTTAGAGAGTGAAAAGAAAGTAAAATGTTTGTATTGAATTCATCCCACTCACTATTTAAATAAAATCCATTGTTCTTTATTTTAATTAATGTGCTTCCTGATATGAAGGTTAGTGAAAGACTTGGAGCGTGTTTCTGATGATATCCACCATAGAATAATTTTTTGATATAAATGATCCTTATCCCTGTTTAGTTGTTTTACTTTTAACTGAATATAAATTTTATACGATTTTTCCTTCCAAAATAACAATCTACTCAAGGGAATTCAAAACACCTTAAAGGTCAGCACAAAAAACTAGCACGTCAACAAAAAACATGAAAAATAATCCAATGCGTCTCTTTGTTGAATCTATAAGATTGGCATGAACACAAACAACATTGAGAAGCAAATAATATAGAAATAGGTACAGGAGGAAATGTCATGGTAGGTTTTTCTTTAAACTAAAAATCAAATAAATAAAAGTTAGAAGTATTCAACAAAAACTGGTACCTGAATTATTCTTAACGATCTGGATCCTATTCGAAAAACAAAACCCCAATTGAAGCTGCAAGGATCTGCCTGAACAGCTCCACACTACAGTCCAAAACTACCTGTTTTTCATATACAAATGGATAAGCATGTTCTTTAAAAGAAGACCCTTTAAAGCATTGTACCCATTTACACGCAGAAGTGAAGCAGAAAGAGTACACACTACAATAAATATTACACATAGTGACATACAAAAAAGTGTCACTATAAGTATAATATATGTAGGTATATATTCATTTGACATATAGCTACATACAATTTTAGTGTTGATTTTGAATGAGATTTAACAACATATTTTGTGTGTCACTATAGCTTATACCCACATTTTTTAACAATATACCAATATATATTATATTTATTGTGTGGGTAAAAATAGTTTTTAATGACACATATTGTGTCACTATAGGATGTGTGTCACGCAATTTCCTTGTAGTGACAAATTCTTACAAACACATTGTTGTGACCCAATTATGATAGCTGTGGTAATCGGGATCATGATCACATACAACTCTACTACTCTTGTACAAACACACTGAATATCTAACAAACCTTAATCACCTAGACTAAGTTCAACATTGTTTTACTGCACAAAACTAAAGCTACCCCTTTTCACCAAAACTGTATTGCCTTTCACAAGCTACAAGGATAGGCTATAATCCACAAGTTATACATATCATATATGCAGTTAGCTATTATTTCTTCCATGACAATCGTATCATTTATTAACTAGATTATGAACACTACCCCTTTTGGATAACATCACAAATAGACTTAAAAAATAAAAAAGAGAATATCAAATAAAAATAATTAAATAAACAAACAAACTCACTTTGCGAATGAATAAGCGGGAAGACTGTATTTCAGAGATGAAAACAAATCAGGAGCACCGGTGACCACATGCACATCATGCCCCAAATGAATCAAATGCCGCGACACTATGCATTTATTCCAATTCAATATTCACATGGCATAACAAAACCAAAAAAAGAAAAAGAAACGACAACCACATGAAAGTAACACAGAAGGATTCAAACTTCATTTTATTAGTTGATCAAGGTCAAAACTGAAAACCCTGAAACAAAAGTTCAATTTTTAAAAAGAATGAGTGATCAATCAGCCCCGTTTGACAAAAATCGACGCAAAAACGGAAAAGGGAGTAACAGTAACTTCGAGAGATAGAGATATATATCTTAGTAACTGGAGTGGCATGACCAAAACACACAAAAGGCAAAAGAGGGTTAGCTTGAAGTTGGATGTGTGGTACTCTGACCACGGGAAGTTGAAGTTGAAGAATGTGTGGTACCCTCATCACTGATAAATTTTAAAAATAAAATTTCAGTAGTTGCAGTCAAACCCCGCCAATATGTATAACTATTGGTCAAAATATAGTTTTTTCCTCTATTTTGGTAAAAATAAAATAATACATGGGTAGATATTTAAAAGATTAATTACATTTTATATTAATATAAGATAATTGTATTATTTTACTCATAACTTTTAATCGAATAGATTATATCTCTAATAGATAGTTAAGACATGACATGGTGATGTGCATTGAAAAAATAAAACTAAAATAATGTCAAATCGTAGAAGATGGAAATTAGACTTTGTATATTTTTCTCCAACACAAACATTTTTCTTTTTGACAAATCCAACTATTACACTTAACTAAAACCAATTAATTGCATTTTTACTCCATGTTATTTTCATCTTTTTTCTTAGATTTTTTTTCATATTCTACATTTTGACATTTTTTTTTCATTTTTTTTTCACATGACAAATTATCATATTATGTAAGTGTTTATGTTATCACCTATTGAAAGGATGTGGCTCTCATAAATGTTACATAAACAAAAACTAATAGATTTTCAATGAAAGATTTAAAAAAGTTTAAAATTGTATAATCATAATTTTTGAGGGGCATAATTTGTTAACTGAAATTTTGAGACTAAAATTGCATAATTATCATACTTAAATGACCAAAAATTCATTTAAGTCTTACTTTAAAGAATGAGTGTGAAATGTTCAAAAAGAGAAGAGAAAAAATAAAAAGAAAATTAGAAGAGAACATATGGTTATATTGAAAGATGAAAATAAATAAAAGGTAAAATGTAATATTTCTTAAATTTAACGTCTTAATAACTACACTTTATGATATTTGGTATTACGACACCTCATATAATTTTTCATTAGTTAAAATCTATACTTTTTAGATATCAAATTGATTTTATGATCAATATTGTTTCCAGAAATCAACAAAAGAATCTTTAATGTATTTTGTTTTCACTTATACACATTTTAGAAAACCTTAAAAAAGTCATTCATCTTTAAATTATTGTAAGTTAAGCATGCTTAATGTGATGCCCCAAACTCCTTTTTTCTTTCTTCACCTTCACTTTCAGTTTTCTAATCCTTCTTCCATTTTCATTTCCTCAAAGGCTGAGCATTTCTGGTTGAAGGAAGTCCCAAGCTCCCAAGGTTAGAACATTCTTGTTCTTCTCTACAAGTTTCTTTTTTCTCGGACATGGTGGAGCTAGGGTTGCGGAGTTGAAGCTCTTTCTTCTTCCTCCTTTTCTTTCTGATGTAACTCAGAGTTTTTTCACTTTAATTTGAGGTTAGGGAAGCTTGTTTTTGGCTAGTAGAGCCTTAAATTCATGATGTTTGAGAATTCATTGTATGGTTGATAGATTTTGTTGCTTGAGAAGAAGAAAAATGGGGTTTTTAGAGAAATGGAAATGTGAGGTTCTTAAGTTGAAACATTGATTACATGTTGGTGTTTTATGTTGTTTTAGTTTATTTAAGTTGTGGAAATTGTTGGAAAACTGGTTGCATGTGTTGGGATTTGTTGGAAATGTAAGATTTGATGAAAAATCGAAGGGGTTTTTCGGTTGTTTGTTGTTTTCAATTTTTCGGGTGAGTCACAGGCATGACTGGTGATTCATGGTCGTGATCTCCTTGGTCTTCATAATAGTGTTGATAGAGTGAATCATGGGTGTGACTGGTGTGTCACGGTCGTAATTGACTCTGTTTGAGAATCTTCACTCCTTACTTTTGAAGGTTAAAGTGTAGATTAAGTTGTCAAGTTGATAAAGTTGAAAATCTATATGAAAGTTGAGTTAAAGTTGTAAATTGCTATGTTGTTAAAGTTGTTAAAGGATTTTTATAGTTGTATAGAATTTGCTAAGTTGTGTGTTGCCTATTGTTGATGGTGTTATGATGACATTGTGATATATAAGTTGTTTATGTCATAAAGTTGTTAAGTTGTATTAAGTTATTTTAAAGTTTTTAAGATAATTATTGTTGTAAGGTTGCATGAATGATGTCTATAGTTGTGAAGTCATTAAATTTGATATTATGATGACTAAGTTACTCAAGTTGTTTATTCAAGTTGATATTATGATGTCTATTGTTGTAAAGTTGTATAAAAATGTCTATTGTTGTAAAGTTGTAAAGTTGGGGACATATGGTGGAGATATATGTCCTATGTTGAGATACATAATACTAAGGTGATAAGTTGAAAGTTGTTTTTTTTGTAAAGTTGAATCCCTTAGTACTGTGCGGGCAGCATAGAAGTAGTTGGTCCATGTCATGGTTGAATGACCAATTTGAGTAAGGTATCTAGTTAGAGATGTAGCTTTTGACTAGGTATTGAAGGGTGCATGGTGCATAGTACTTGGAGGGTAGTGGGTGGACTAACTTCATATGTGGATTGGTAATGCAAGCCAAGGCCATGGTAGTCTCACACCCAAACCCTTATGCCTGACAGTAGTACTAGACCTCCGAGTCTAAGTGGCACACCTGAGCAATCAACTATTGTTGTCTATACCTAATTCTCTTTGGAGTTCCTAATGTTGTCCTATACCTGACCTGGTTAAGATAGGTTTAAAGTTGGATTTTGTAGGATTTATGCCACCTAGACTACTCAACCCTAGTTGTTGGAGATCTCCTAGTTGTATATGTGTGACGATGCATTAGTTGATGTTGCATATGATGTTGCATGGATGTTACTTATGTGGTTGCATTCAAGTTGTATATTATGTTGAATGTGTTGAAAATGTATTTATTTTTAGTTGATGTTGAAAGACGAAAAGTTGAATTCTATTATTGTTTATTGTATATTGACGTTGTTTTATGATGTTTATTGTTGTGAGTTTACCCTGGCTATTTCCTTTATGGTTGGGGCTGCAATAACCATACCTTGGCATAAGAGCAGATCAAGATTAGGTGCACTGGTGGATTGGGTTAGCTTCTTTTTGTTTGAGACTTAGTAGGAGAGTTGATGTTTTGTTAAGGTGATTGGTAGCAGTCAACTACCTAGTTGTTGTATAGGATATTATGTCATACTTTCAATTGTATATATATTATGAGACTTTTTATTTGTGTATTCTCATTATATATATAATTATTTAGCAGTGACATTTTTATTTTATGCATGTATCTGGACACTATAGACAGTGTGGGATCTAGCGAGTCATTACACTTTTATAGTATCAGAGCCACGTCGAGCCTTAGGAACACTCTGTGGGGGTGGACTTTATGTGCTTTTGTTGTGAAGTTGTTTCTTGTGAGGATATGTATCTTCTATATTCTTAATAGCTTTAATTGATATATGTTGCAAGTTGTGGGAGTTGTAGTTGTTTGGGTCGTCTGTGGTGGATATTCTAAATGAACGTTTTCTTTGTGTTGAATGGTTACAATATGACCAAATAGTCAAGGCCATGGAGAAGATGGCCATGGCGATGTAGCAGCAGACTGCACAATTTGCTAGGATGGATACTAAGAGAGTTGTAGTTGGTGAGTAAGATCGACTAGGTCTTAGGAGAGCAGGGATCTAGCTGATCAATTCAGGAAGTGTAGTCCTCCTCAATTCAAAGGTGATGCAGATCTAGAGGTGGCTGACCATTGGATTTGCGAGTTGGAGAAGATATTCTCAATTTTGGGTTGTTTAGAGGAGCGAAAGCTCACCTATGTAGTGTGTATATTGGCAGGTGAGACAAAGTATTGGTGGAGGCACTAGTCAGATGCTAATTGATTGTGGAGTGGTTGTGGACTGGGTGTGCTTCAAGAGGTCATTCCTCGGGAAGTACTTCCCAGAGTGTTAGGCATGCTTGGGAGACAAAGTTTATGAGATTATAGCAGGTTGGGTTGTCAATGATTGAGTATGCCATGAGATTCGAGCACTTGGCACGCTTCTACACCCAATCCATCTCTAAGGCTTGGAAGTGTAGGAAGCTTGTTGAAGGCTTGGGGTATGATTTGAGTAGCGTGGTGGTGCATGCTTATGGCCATCACGGAGTTACCAGCCTTGGTAGAGAAAAAGAAGGTTGTAAAGCGGCTAAAAAGCATTGACAAACCAGCGAAGACTATTGGTGGGCCAACTAGGTCCAAGACTAGTGGTAATTCTTGGAGGAAGCCTTATGACAAGCCCTAACAGCAAGGGGGTTCTTCCATAAGGTAGCCTACTGAGGGAGCTGGGAGTAGAGCTTAGGTTGTTAGGTGTTATCGATGTGGTGGGCCGCATATCATTAAAGATTGCATTGCTACATAGTCCAGGTATTTCAGATGCAATAAGTTTGGCCATCTAGCCAAGGATTGTCCAAATAAGGCAGGTTAGCCTAGGAGTGCTCAAAGAGTGGAGCGACTGATGGCGGTAGGGTGTGTGTTTGCTCTTTCAAAAGCGGAGGCATCTACTTCACCGGACTTGGTGAAGGGAAAGGGTAGAGCTGTAAGTGCAAAGGTTTCTATCTTTTTGACTCGAGTGCTATGATTCCTTTATTTCTTTGGACTGCATTAGTAGGTTGAGATTAATATGGATGAGTTGGATGTTTGTTTGGTTGTGTCTACTCGATGTCAACTTTAGTGACGACATCAAAGTGTTGCTTGAAATGCCCAGTTGAGTGGTTTGGGCGGATATACTAAGTGAACCTCATCTGTTTGCCATTGGTGGGCTTGGATGTGATTCTTGGTATGGATTGGCTAACAGCCAATCGGGTTTTGATTGATTATGCTCGGAAGGAGCTCATTTTTGATGATGAAGTGGATGATGGGTTGATATCTACAAGACAGGCAAAGAAGTTGTTATTAGATGGGGCAAAGTGTTTTCTTCTCTTGTCTTCTTTGAGTTTGGAGTCTGGGTACGTGGTTGAAGCCATTGATGTTGTAAGAGTCTTTTCGGAGATATTTTTGGATGAGGTGCCTGGATTACTGTTGATGAGTGAGATAGAGTTTGATATATTATGAGACCTTTTAGTTGTATATTCTCATTATATATATAATTATTTAGTAATAATATTTTATTTTATACATGTATCTGGACGGTTTAGACAATGTGAGTCATTACACTTAATAGTGATATTTAAAAGTGATTAACTAGTTAATAATAATTGTATTTTGCTAGTGTAAATAGTATTAATTAACTCATTTAAATTATTCACAACTAGATAATTTTTGTCTGTTTCATTCGGGTGTGTTGATCATGTTACAAGTCACACTCAACGTGCAACATGGCAATACGGAGTTATCGAGGAGCTCAAGGAGGAGTTTGTGGAGCGGGGCTTCACAATTTAGGAAGGGTCACAACCCATAAGGAAGATGACTTTGAACTCATATACTTGTACCACAAGAACTCGTGAAGGTGATTACCTAAACAAGGTGGTGTTCTCTTCATACAACTACTTTCTACATTCATTATTTAAAAATCGATATAGAAATATCTAACTTTCTATATAAAAATATCGACTAAATTTACATCAATTCAAAAATTGATATAAAAAGTAGAAAATAATTGATCTAAGAGATCTAAATTATAATTATATTTTCTAAAATATTATAATAACTACTATGATAAAATTACTTTTAGTTATAAATTATTTTAATTTATATTTTTGTATTCACAGGATTTGAGCATGATATTATAGGGAATCACTACAACACATGTATCAGGCATAATTACTAAATTCTGAATTCAAATTTTATTTAAAAAGTGTTTTTTTCATCTTTATATGTTAAATATACATAATTATTTTGCGCAAGAGTATTTTTAAAGAATTTTAGTTTTTAATAAGTATTTTTCGTGAGAATATTTTTTAATTTTTTTTAACTTTTATCTATTCTAACTTAAATTTATCATATTATTTTTATATTAAACTTTAATTTTTTTAAAAAATTATCAATAATTAAAAATAATTTTACCTCACAAGATAAATTATTTATTATAAATATAGAATATAATTTTATATTTTCAAAAATATTTATTTATAAAAATTTTAAAATAATATAATTTATATATTTCATGACAAATTAGTTTAAGAATGTGATCAGTGTTTTGATAAGCGAGCTGCGATTTAGTTTGTTTAGGATTGATTTTTATTAAAAAAATCTTAAAAATTAATTAAGAATTATATGACAAAGCTTAAATATGTTTTTAATTCAAATAAAATGAGTGAATTTTGAGTTTAGTCTTTATAAAAAAAGTCATCTTTTCAAAATTTATAAAACACAAAATTGTTGTTAGTTATTGATAATTTATATTTAAAAATATTAAAATTAATTCATAAATTATTATAATAAATAAAAACAAATTTTTATATAAAGTTAAAAAAATTATCTCATGAAAGAAAAATATCTAAAAATATTCTTCATTAAATAATGGTGTGTATTTTATATAGAAAAAGTTATTTTTATTTATACATTACACTAATTAAAATATAAAACCAATACAAAATCTCTTTACTATTTTATAATTAACCAACAAGTAAATAATTAGAATTGAGTAACAAGTAACTAAATAGAGGATATAGATCGAGAAAATACATTACCGCGAGAAAGTTCACGCCTCACATCTTGGAAAGTTTTTTTGAAATAAGGTAGCTTTACATCAGATGACACACAACTGTCATAAAAAAACATGAGAGTATGAGACGATCTTTAATCGTTATATGAACTCTTATATTACGAATTTACGATATATGTTGTTTCAATGATTGTGTTGCAAGATTTTATAAATATTAACTTATTTTTTATCCAGTAGAAAACTTATTCTTTATTGCAAATTCAATCATATTCATATATGATTTTTTTTATTTAAAAAAATGTTTATTTGAAAATAATCATCAAAAACCAAGTAAACACTCAATCCATATAAAAGTCTCCTACTATTAAACTTCAAAGAAGCAAACGTATCATTAAACACATTTACATCAACTCTTCATTATTTTTTATAAGAGAAAGAAAATAAAAAATAAAATAAAATAAATTTCTTCATAAATTAAAATTAAATTATATACAAGTTAATTTTTAGAAATTTTGGCATATAACTTTTTAAAAATATTACTTTTAACTTATACACAAATTAATTTTAATTTATGAAAAAACTTATTTCACTTTTTCTTCTTTTTTTTTCTTTTTAGAAGGGTTTCTACATAAGTTTACCTATAAACATGACCACATAAACTAAGCATGCATGGTTTCTAACATGAGCAGATGAAGAAACCTTAACATCAAATAGGAAAGATGAAGTTGTCATTAGTGCTTACCTGACCAGTTTGAAGAATACAAAAACAACCAGAGCTCTGAGGAATGCAAAAGAAAAAAAACGCTTCAAAGAAAACAGTGAAAAGGAAAAGGCTATGCAGAACCTCTCCTCCTATCACTTAAAAGCATTCTTGGGATCACTTTCAAAATGAAGTTGTGAAAACTAATATTGACACATTGAGATTTGTAGCACAAATCCAAAGATGATCAGGGGAACTGGTATTAATTTAATTAATCACGATTTGTAGCACACTTGTTCATTTCATTAATTAATTGTGCCTTATGTTCACATGGTAGTACACCCTGCTGGTAGAAGCTGCTAAATGCGTTGAATTCTACTTTTGTGAGCATTGTTATGGTTGTTATGCTTTGCTTATATCATTCTAATATACTGAAATAATTGAACGTGATGTAGCTGTGAAAAGGATTTTGGGAGGTATAATAAAACATGTTGCTCTTTCTTAAACATTAACTTCATCTATCTGGGATCCAGTGTTGGTTCTCTTATCATTCTTTATATGACTCGTTCGAACGACTTTTAAAGTCTTCTTAGAAAATTGTTAGGTTGTTACATCTAAGTGAGGCTGTATTCCCCGTGAAGAGAAGTATCAAATTAGACATTTGACTATTCTAAATTGGATTTAATTGTCATACAGTCAGTATAAATTTTTTTTATACAATTAATTAATTAGAAATAATAATTTACATGACTCTTAAAGTTATTATTATAAAAATTAATATATTTATTATTTATAATGAATTATGATCAAATCATCATATAAAATTATTTTAAATTGTTAGTATAACAATGTTAAATTAAATCCTTCCGAATTTAGAAGCCGATCCATCTACAATATCTAGTAATGAAATATGTATTTATTTGTGAGAGAGATAGAGAGAGAGAGTCCAACTTTTGAGGATGATTTACTTTGATTAAATTTTCTTTTCGGATCAAAACATGTGTAATTATTTGATTACATGTTGATTGGTATTCAAATGATAAAAAATTCAATATGATGCAGATGGAGAAGGAACTAAATTATTGTGAAAATTATGAAGTATTTTGGCAGCTAATAATTAGATAAGAGAATTATTTTTTAAATTTTCTGTTATATATAGAAATTCTATTTGTTGCGCATTTTTTTTCACCAAAATGAAATTAATAATATTGTTGGGAATGGATTGCGTGAATAATCATATTGAAACAACAGTTTTTATTTATTTATTAATTAAATCATTGTTTAGAACATTTTATTTAAGGATTAAATATATTTTTCGTCTAACAAATTTTATCGAGTTTCACTTTTAATTTTTGAATAATTTTTTTAGTTTTAGTCTTTGAACTTTTTGTTAATTTTCATTTTTAGTCTGAAATTTTTTATTAATAATTTTTTGTATTTTACTACAAGATTTGTTCATAGATTTTGTTCAAAGACTTAAAAAGTTAAAGTTTACAAAAATTCACCCACTAAAACCATGTTTAATGTTTTATGCACTAACACCTTATATTTATGCAACAACAAAAAATTTTAATCTTTTATTTAGTTAATGCAAATCTATAACCTCATTTATTTAGTTTAAGTGAACATGTTATTAATTTAGTTAATGATTTACTCTGGAAACACGTGAATCTCAACTTAGCATATTATTTATCTTCAGTATTAATTTATTTTCACTAATTTAAATTGCTCAAATATTTATTCAGGTTTCTACTCAAGATTTTAATTAAAAGAAAATAACAGAAGACTTTTAAATCAAATAAGTTAATTAAATCCTAAATTCCTAATCTCGTATTTGACTATGATTAAATATAGTAGGTAATCCAATTACATGATGATTGATGAAGGAGATATAAAAGAAGTATAATACTTTAAAATATTAATCAAATGATGTCATACTTATTCGAACGAATATTTATGTGAAATATTTTTAGTTGTATTCATTCATTTTTTTATTTATTTTGGATTGTGGTAGAGAATATTATTGGAGACCCCTCGAGCTTAAATTGAATTCAAGAGTCTAATGAGTTTCAATAATGTGCAACCCAGTGCGTATGAATTGATCACTTGGTCCAATAATCCAAAATCTCTTATATCAGAGATAAACATATATCCTATCGCAAAGTAATAATGGACAAAAGTGTGAAAATATTATACTCAAAATACTAAAAGTGATTACCAATTTTTAGAAATTGTCATATTGTCTAAAGGTAATTAGTTAGAAAGGGTTGTTTTGTTCTCAATTGTGTGGAAATCAAGTTTGCAATTAACAGTATAATAACCAAGTATCAAATAGAAGACCTAGGGTAATGATTTTAATTTTACCAATTTAGTAACTGAACTTTTAGTCTCTGAAGCAAATTTTTTCTTGTAGATGCTGATATAAAAAATTTGTTGTTACTGAATTTATTATTATTATTTTTTTGGAAAACACAAATATATAGATGAGATGGAGTACAAGGGTACCCCTAGCCCAAATACATAAAGTAATATTTAAAGAATTATAATAAAAAGACATACAAGAAATAAGATTAGTCCAACACTTATTCAATGACATGAAATATATTTCTAGCTTAGCCTTAAATCACAACCAAATCCTCACCTTGATCATGTCAATTACCTCATCGATCAGTTTTTAATTGCGCATAATTGAAACATTTGATTTCTATGTAACCAAATGGATTAGGTGGTGCAAAGCTATAAAATCTTCCAAACTTCATGTTACTTAATTTATTGTTGATCATTCGCATATGACTACGACTTCTCTTACGAGTCATTTTATTATATTTCAAAGAAAAATATCTTTCTCAAGCAAATGAAGTTGATATAGCCTATAGTTCTGGAATTACTCCAAGTTGTGAATTAATGGTTAGAGGAGTTGGTAGTCGTGAGAATTATAGAATCTATCACAAAAGATTATAGAAATTATTTACGTCTAAAAAGACAAATAAAATTCAAAGATACAAGTAGTGTGTTAGACTATTCGGAAAAAAAAAATTAGAAGACCCTAATTTTTCTATGCAATATAAGTGGATGAGGATAATTAAAAAACAAATATATTTTAAACAAATGCAAAAATGATAATTCACTATTTATATTTTGGTAATATAATTTTTTTTAATACTACTTAGAGCAAATAAAGAGGATCGTCATTTGTAATAATGTTTATTGACATGAATATCATGTCCTTTTTAAAAATGTTTATATTATTTTCATATAAAAAAGATATTTTTGGCAAGAAGCGTAAAAACATAAGAGGATTATACTTTTTTATTTGGAAAGAGAGATGGAACATAGCTCCACTGTGGTGGCTATGGTGGTGATGGGGGAGAAACATGATGGTGATGGTGTTGGTGTCTGTTGCTGCTTAATGATGAGACTGGATCTAATCACTAAACCACCACTCATAAAATGTTTTTATATTTATATATTCGTTGTGTGCTTAAAGTATCTCAAATGGGAGTAATTTTAAAGAGTTGCTTAATGCATGAATTCATGTGTCTGGTATTGTGTCACACTAGTGTTAAGTAATTTTATTCTATTTTTATTTTAATAATAAGTTTTTTCAAGCAACTCCAAGAAATTCAATATTTTATAATTTTTTATTCTTTTTCTTGTTTTTTTTCTTCTTCTTCTCTTTCCTTTTTTCTCTTCTTTTCCCCGTTGCACCGCACTGCTGCACTCCTTCTCCGTTGGCCACACCCCTCTTCTCTTCTCTTCCCTTTCCCTCTTTTTTTTAGTTAAAAATTAATGTTATTATATTTAAGCAATTGTTGTTTATAGAGGCAACACAATAAAAATTTAAGCAACTTTTCCAATAATAAATTTTTTAAGAATCTATTGCTTAGGTTAAGAAACTCTCCAAACATTATCATGGGAGATGCTCTTATGCTTTAATATGATTATTTGATCATTTCCTTATAGAGCTCAAGATTTGGGAGAAAATAAGACAAATCTGCTGAATAAAGGGATTGTTGGTGGCTCAAAATAGAGAGCTAGGCCACCATTTGAAGCAAGAAAGCCTTTAGAAGATTTTCTCATTTTCTGTTTTTTTTTTATTTTCTTAATTTGTATTTTGTAGTTTATACTTTTGTTCTTAATCTGTAATTTATAGTTTTGTCTTGTCTTATTTGTTGTAAATTTTTAATGGACTGGACTCTAGTTTTTAGATGGGCCTTATATCTAAAGGCATTTATTTATTTATTGCTCAGATTAATTGTTTTTTTTTAATAATGGACTTAGCCTAAAATCCAAATAATTAACTATTAATAAATAAATAAAAAATAATGACGATAAAGGAAGGAAATAATAAAATTTCGGCTCAGATGGTCCACATCAAGGGAGGCTGAAAATAAAAAAGTTTCAGGTTTACATGGCCCAATGGAATATCAAACAAAAAAGAGAAATTAAACATAAATTTCAGGCTGAAAAAGGTTGATCAAAACAGGATGAAGTTTATATGGAAATTTCTTAAGAAAATAGTCACAAAAGAGAAAAATTGACAATTATTTAGAGAAAAATAAAAATGAAACAAAAATTGGAACAAAAGAAACAAAAAGCGCAAAAATAAAGTGAAATGGGAAACAAAATTGAGTATTCATCACTTTTGTAGATAATAAAACTAAACTTAGCTTAAAATATTTTTTTTATTTCTATAATTTTACTTATTTTATCTTTTAATTCTTATAATTTAAAATAGATATTTTTTTATTTTTTATACTTATTTTTTTCAATTTTTAAGTTTTTATAATTTAAGTTATTCTTTTTAATCTCTTTATTTATAATTTTTTTAATACTTTTAATCCATGCTGTTAATTTTTTTTTTAATATTTTCTCTTTTATATTAACATAATAGATATATTAATTTTATTTTGTATGTCTAATGTAAAATTTATTTTATTAAAATTATTATAAATTAGATCTCTTAATATTTTGTATTTTTTTTATACCCTCACTAGCATTGTCAAGATACATTTTTACCTTTGCAAAATTTAAAACCTATAATATGGAAATACAAAACAGATAATATTACAAAAAAAATTAACAATTAGAGACTAAAAAGGTTAAAAAAAAATTCAAATAAATACACTTAAAGAATTTATCTTAATTATAGGAACTAAAAAAATTGAAAAAATAAATATATTTAGAGACTCAAAATGTCTATTTTAAATTATAAAAATTAAAAATTAAAATATATAAATATAAAGACCGATAAAGTAATTTAACCTTAAACTTATTATATATGATGCACTCTTTCTATAATTTAAAAACCATGCATATCTCCTCTAGATTTATAGAACAACTTTATTTAAAAACAAAAAAACAAAAAAAAAAAACTCCTTTTATAATTTAAAAAAAGTACACGTGAAAATAAATTACACATGTCAACACTATTCGCGAAACTTCTTATAACTTAAATACCATTCACAACGTCTGTAAAGATGCCCAGTTGACAAGTTTCTCAATGTAACATCCTTCTAAACAAATACACTCATGTCAACTTTATTCATAAAAAACCTCTTGCAATAATAAAGGTTAAATATATGAAACACCCTTATTATTTAAAAGCCACATAAACTTCTGCTCCTGTATAAATACAGGACCACTTTATTCATAAAACATCCTTGAATAACTCAAGAACCATTCGTGTTTCCAATATGTATATAGGGAAACTTTATTCATGAACACCACACTTCAACATTATAGAAAAGCCCTCGATTTGTCAGTAGTTGTTGTCATGATGTTGTCGTTGCCTTCTTCGAGTGCCCCAATCCCCTGAACCTTGATTTTTTTTCTTCAAAAAAAAATATTACATTAGATAGTAGCTGAAAGTAAAGCAATTTTTAAATTTATGGGAAAATAAGTCGAATCTGTTCATGAGTACAACGAGAGGAACCTCAACTTTGTTAAGTAAAAGATTCACACTTTTTATACTATATTGTGTAAGGCATGAGGAAACATCACAATATCAGATTTTTGCACTTTTATAATTTTTAACAGGTCTCATTTTATAAATCTAGTTCCGACAATTATGATTTTTATCCTTGCTTAATCAACTTGAATCCATTATCTTTTCTGAACTTTTTTTTTTCCCCTCAATTTATTAAAATAAACTTACCTTTTTATAATTTATATGTTTAGATCCACTAACAACATTCCATGTCTTCTGCTCTGTTGCTGCTCCAGATAACAGACGAAAACTAGTTTTCAAGGGTAACATGAACGAACACAACGACAATAAGCTTCTCTCAATGACCACAATTTCATGAAGCAATTTATTAACAAAACTGAGGCGGTTAGAAATGACCAAACATATTGTGGAAACATATATATTGACTTAACATTCCCAAATCTTCATTTATGTAGAAGACAAAAACAAAGAAATGTTATTAGATGATGAATGCCTTCTCCCTAGTTAGTAGCAGTTGATGAGCCTATATTAATTGCACGTCCGTAAGATATACTTGATCATATATGTACTTACATACAAGCCAAGGGAATTTGTCACCATACTAACTCAAGCTGTCTCCTCATCAAACTGTTGCATGATCGCATAATTTATATCATCTTCCCAATACAATCCATCTATTTTAACCTTCAATTCCGTAGGAACTTTGTCACCAGGACGAAAAAGTTCCGTGCTGTAGCATCTTATGAACTCAACTAATTCCAAGGATGGGAAATTCAAAGTGGAACACCCCGTGTAAATGCTTTCAATTTTTGGTAACGAGTCAAGAAACAAAATCTGAAGCTTCTTGAACATCATCTCATTTTCATATTTATCTTCACCTTCTCCTTTGTGTTCATCTTCATCTTCATCTCCCTCTCTAGCAACTATTTCTGTCACTGATTTACAGTCTACGACTATGATATACTCAAGATTCACCAACTTTTTGGCTGCTGAAGATGTGAATAAATACTGCAAGTTGGGACATTCAGATACACACAATCTTCTCAGACAAGAGAAAGACAATGTGTGTGCTAATGTTGTCAAATGAGGACATTCCCAAACATATAATACGTGGAGCTTCTCAGATATTGTGTTTAACCATGATGAGTCCTCTGACTCGATGGACTGGAGGGCAGATACGTTTAATAGTGTCAAATTTTTTAACTGTTCAAGCATCCCGTTCTCCCCAATTTTGGGCTCTTGAGCATGGAATATCTCGGGACTATTGCAGTAGCTTATACTCATTTCAATTAAATTGGGTGCCTTTTGTAGTATTTCAATGGGCAACATAGGCTTCTCATTCTCATCAGTGTCAAAGGAAGACAGGGCAATATGCTTTAAATCTTTGAGGCCTTCCGTAAACTGCTCCGACTCAAACCTTAAGTTTAACACTGAAATGTGTTTCCATTCAAGATTCAATTCCTTAATCTTGGAAATGACCTAACAATTAAAGGGAACACAAATAAAATATAATTATTTAAACTATAAAGGACTGAATTAGAAGATGACAGCTGAGCTGAGAATGCAAATTCTATGATACTTACCTTTAAATTTGAGATAAGAGGTTGTCTGTTAATTGAAGTACTCGTAGTTTCACCCTCATCCATGGGATGTGCACTTTGAAATAACTCCAGCTCATGACAATTCAACACACATAAGATTTTCAAGGCAGGACATTCCAGAGTGAATGTTTGAGGGTAAAAGTAAGTGAGTTGTGGCAAGTCACGAAGATCCAACTTCTCTAAACAAGGGAACACAAACTTTTCTGTTACATTTGTTGTTCTGAATTCATCCTTTTCAACAATTGCTTGCAATTTATGACAAGATCCTATTTCAAGTTTTTCAAGCTTCTCAAGATTTTTTGCCAGGGAAGCAGGAAATAAGGTTTGCAGGTTTCTACAATAATTAACAACTACCTCTTGCAGATTTGAAAAGATGAGAACTCCTTCACTATTCTTTCCCCAAACATGTCTCAGCTCCGATAGACTTTGTAAAGCCAACTTCTTCAACCGGGATGGTGTTTCCATAATCTGAGTGTCACTCATATCAAAAATTATCTCTACTTTGTAGCTATCCCGCACTTCCAATTCTTCTAAGTTGTTTAAACAAGGAAGAATAGCAGATGGAATTGCATATGGTAGAATGAACATGTCTAGCATCAATTCTCTCAAATTGCGCAACCATTCATTTTGTAGACCAACATTATGCCTGTCTAGTTGTAGCTCAAGATTTTCAGAACAGTTTTCATCCAAGGCTTTGAAAAACTCCTGCAAGTATTATAACAGGTTTTATTATCAGATATATCGTATCAATTGCTTGTCTACGTGACTACGTCTGCCTATAGAACATTATAAATTTACAATGCTTTTCGTTCTAGCATCTTTATATACTGAAAGGAAAAACTAGATCAAGTAATAAAATGGATTGGAATTGAATGAATATTTTTTATTTTGAATTAGGAAATATATTTTTAACAAAAGTCAGGAACTAATATTTGGTGTCAAATTTCATGCATACACAAAATAAATAAATTCAATTCCTTTTTTTAATAAAATTTTCTATAAAATAATTATTATCAAAGTTCACTAAAATCAACATTCTCTATAAATTATTTTTAATACTTTTCTTATAAAAATATAATTTAATCATTTATATTAATTTAAAATTTTGAATTTTTATAATCTATAACATATAAAGGCAATAATCTCAATTTGTATACATATTTTTTATATTATTTTATAATCTAACAAACATTAATAATTCTTAAAAATTTAATTTTTATCAAACAAAATATAGATGATCCCACTAGTTAAAAGATAATTGCATTGCTACAATCTTCTGCATCATAAACTAACTAAATATAATGAGTGGAATATTTACTTACAAAATTTTTAAATTATAAAAATCTTTTTAAAGTATTTTTAACTATAAGACCTAAATAAAAATTTGAAAAAACTATAGGAATCTTACCCGACGTTGGAACTAGGGATGGCAAATAAACCCGTACCCGTGGGTAATACCCGAACCCGTCCCGACTTTGACGGGGAATACCCGCTTTGACCGGGTACGGGTACGGGTACGGGTAAAACCCGATAAATTAAATCGGGTACGGGTACGGGTACGGGTATATACTTACCCGCCCCGTCCCCGTCCCCGTCCCCGTCCCCATCCCCGTCCCCGGTTAAATACCCGTCCCCGGTTTAATTATTTAAAAAAAATTAAAATTTTAAAAATAATGTCTCTAGTCTAAAGTGACTCACTCCAGCAACACGATTATAGCAAGTTTAGCAACACGAATCACACGATTACACTCCAGCCTCCACGAGTTAGGGTTTCACACTGCGCACTCCAGCCTCCGACGGACGAGCCACTCCAGCCTCCGAGCGGTTGGCTATGGAACTCAGACTATCTAGGTAAATTAATAAAAAATAAATTAGCATTAATGGTCAATTAGTAATTTTGTATCAATTCTAATTAATATTCTATATTTGATGTTTGTAGGTGCTAAAGCCACTAAAGAAAAAATTACTTTAATGAGTGAAAGTGAATCTGATGATGAAGGTATATTATATTTTAATATTACAAATTTTCAATTTGATTTATCATATCTAAAGTTTATCTTTTTTGTATGCAGGTGGATTGCATGCAAGTGGAATTACTGAACATGTGCAAAATTAATATATGTTGTAAGTGGATTTCAATTTCATTAGTCCAATCTAATTTTTCAATTCTAATTTTTAAAATTTTCATTCATAACTCAATTCTAATTTTTTATAAATTGTCTTATGATAGGTGGATTGAAGCTTAATGACACTCAACATTTTCCACTTGCAAGATGAATTTTAATTTTTATTTGAGAAATTTCAATTTATTTTGTTATTTGAACTCAACATTGTGGTTGTTTATTTGTGACAATACTCAACATTTGTGGTTGTTTAATTTATAAGATTTTAATTATGTGTAGTTATTTATTATGATGTGAAATATTTGTAGTTGTTTAATTATTAAGAAGTCTCTTGATTAAAATATGAGATAGACAAACAACCCAATTATCATTGTAATATAACATAAAAATAAGTTAAAAAAATTTTTGTAAAAAAAAATTATTTTTTTTACGGGTACGGGTACGGGTACGGGTATACCCGATACCCGACGGGGACGGGGATGGGACAAAAATCCCATACCCGACGGGTATGGGGACGGGGACGGGTATGGGTTTTAGTCGCGGGGACGGGGACGGGTATCATCAAACCCGTACCCGCCCCGCCCCGTTGCCATGCCTAGTTGGAACATCCCCTTCACAGTGGTGTTAAGATCTTGGTAGAAGAGCAAATCTTGGTTAGGATCCAACGATACCTGAATACCCATAAAGGACTCCGCATGTATGTCGCCTCGGGAGAAGATTGTCATGTGGGGACATTTCCATATGAGAACTCTCATCAGAGATGATAATTCTAGAGTGTCACTGCCCGAATAAAAATATAACAACTTTGGTAAAGAATCTAGAATTATGGTTGTCAATTGCTCAAATTTTATGGCTTCTGATGTAATTCTCAAGACCTCTTCATCCAATATTATTTGTTCCATTGATTTACATTCCACTACGTACATCTCTTCAAGGAACACCAACTGTCTTGCTGTTGTGGATGTAAATAAATACCTCAGTTTATGGCAATCTTTTATAGACAAATGTTTTAGATTGGAGAATGAGACTGCTGAATGTACTAATGTTGTCAAATCAGGACACGAGGAAATGCACAATTTTTGTAACTCTTTACAGACACGGGACACGGTCATCAAGTTTCTACTCCATCTCATTTCATGTCGTGAGAGGAATAACTCCACAAGACCTCTGCATCGGCTTATCTCAAGATATTCTAAATTGGATGCCTTCTCAAATATCTCAACGGGAAAAGACATCACCCCACGGGCATCATCAAAATCAAGCTCAAGTTCCACTAGCTCGTGTAACGGAAAATTTCCGTTGCATAGCATCATCTCAGTGTTTTTCCAATCGAGCTTCAATGACTCCAGAATGAAAATAGCCTAGTAAGTGCATAACAAAAAGGCATCCAGGGGGTCACAAATTAGAAACAGAAGACGGAAATGTAAAAAGAAAAGAGAAAGATTCCGTTACAAACCTTGCTTTTGGAGAAAAGGGGTTGCCTATTAACTGAAGTAGAGCATTGTGGCTCTTGTTCATTTTGAAATATCTCCAACATATCACAAAACGCCACCTCTAAATGATTCAAGTCGGGACATTCCAGAGTAAATCTTCCAGGATAAAAGCAACTGAGTCGTGGCAACTTACGCAGATTCAGCGAGGTTAAACGAGGAAATGAAAATTCTTTTGTTGCCTCTGTAATTGCATTCTCCTCTTCAACAATTTCTTCAAACATTTCACAATTCCTTATTTCAAGTTTCTCGAGCTTCTCAACTCTTTCATCCAGCTCTGAAGGAAACAGAGTTTTCAGTTGTTTACAGTTAGTAACAAGCACTTCCCGCAGATTTTGAAAGCTTGGATTTCCTTCATAATTCTTTTCCCATAGTTGTATCAAATTTGGTAGATTATCCAAAGCCAATTTCTTCAATGGAAAGGTATATTCCTTCATCTCTGCCTCCATTATATCAAATATTACCTCTACATTGGTGTTGCTTACTTCAAGTTCTTCCAAGTTCTTTAAACCGGGGAAAACAACAGTTGGAATAGCATGCGATCCAAGTTCAATATTTGTCAGCTTCAAAGTCTTCAATCGAGAGCTCTCAAGTAAGGTGTAAGGATGGGAAGCTACCATCTTGTCTGGATCAAGAGCCTGTAAATAAGTTCAAAATCAGAAATATCTCAAATGCTTGTTAATACTATATTGGTACTATGTACTTCCATATTCTTTATATTAGTCCCCTTTATACCAAATATTACCTCTATTGTTGAAAACAGAACATGAAAACAGAGGTATATGATTAAGAACAAAAATAACAAATTGAAATAAGAAAATCTGTAACTTCACACATACAAAAAGAAGACAAACTGATATGATATATTTAAATTATAAATTCAGTTTTGCACATTTTTGTATGTGTGAAATTGCAGATTTTCTTATTTCAATTTGTTATTTTTGTGCTTAGTCATACACCTCTATTTTCAACATGGTATCAAAAGCTTCATTGATCTTTTAAGGCCCGTGTGAGAAAAAAAAATAATAGAGAAAAAACTAGCAATAAAACCCATACAAACAACCTTCAAATACAAAAATGACTTCTAGCAGTAGTCCTTTACTTCCACCTCCTATATTTGTAGGTGAAAACTATCACTTGTGGGCTACGAAAATGAGGACTTAGAGCTCAAAGTTTATGGGTTATAGTGAAAAATAGAAATAATCCACCTCCATCACCAGAAAACCTAACAGTAGCTCAAATGAGGAGCCACAATGATGAAGTGGCAAAAGAAGGAAGAACTCTTGCAATTATACAAGCAACACTACATGATGATGTATTTAACAAGATTCTAACTCTTGAAACTGCGAAAAAGACATGGGACAAGTTGTAGGAGGAGTTCCAAGGGAGTGAAAGAACAAAAAGAATGCAAGCTTGAACCTAAGGAGAGACTTTTGAAGCGGTAAAGATGAAAGAAACTAAATTTGTCAAAGATTTTATTGACAAACTTTGGAAAGTTGTTACCCAAATCAGATTACTTGGTGAAAAACTTAGTAATCAACATGTGGAAAAAATCTTGGTGTGTCTTCTGGAGAGGTTTGAATTCAAAATCTCCTCTCTTGAAGAAAATAATAATTTTTTTTTAAATATCAATTGCAGAACTTGTGAATGGTTTGTAAGTCACTCAATAAAGAAGATCTTTGAGAATGGAAGAATATATTGAAGGTGCTTTTGTGACATACACGTAAGGCAAAAAAAAAAAAAACAACAAAGGAAAAGGTTGGAAAAACAAGTTTCCACCATGCCCCCATTGTAAGAAGAACAACCATACTAAAATTTTTTGTTGGTTTAGGCCAAACATTAAATGTAGGATTTGCAATCAGTTTGATCATGTGGAAAAGGTTTGTAAAAGTAAAAGCAAACTCACAAGAATATCAAACCCAAATTGTAGAGCATGAAGAACATGAGGAACATTTATTTACTACTACTTGTTATTCAACGAGCAATAGTAAAAAGGTGTGGCTCATAGACAGTTGATGCACAAATCATGACTCAAGATGCTGCAATTTTCAAGGAATTAAATCAATCACACATCTCTAAACTCACCATGGACAATGGACAAATTGTTGATGTCAAAGGTAAATGAGTTGTTACTGTTGAAACTCATTCAAGTATTAAATATATTTAAGAAGTTTTATTTGTGCCTGAATTAAATCAACCTTTTGAGATTGGAACAAATGCTTGAAAAAAATTATTCTGTCTTTTAAAAATATGGGATACACCATATTTGATCCTTTTGGGTGTGAGCTTATGTCCATTAAAATGAGAGATACAAGTTTTCCAATAGAGTAGAAGAAAAAAGTCACACATGTTATTTTAAAGAAAGATGAAGCTTTGAAAAATGAGTCACCTGAAGAAACATTTTAGACTCTAAAATGTGATTCAAATGGGTTCATAATAAAAACTACTCAAGAGAAGGTGACCTTTGATCACAACAAACTTAAAAAGTTTCTATAGTTTTTTGTTTTGCTTGTAAGTTTGGTTAAAGGTTGCTAATGTTTAAAAAAAGTAAGTTGTGCATGTAAATGATGTTTGTTTGTTAGTTTAATTATAATTGTTGTTTCACTTGTTTGCTTTACCCAACCAATGGTTAGTCAGTTTTAATATTTAAACACTTGATGTAAACACTTTCAATGTATGCAAAACTGAATTCTTAACTCAAATATATCAAATCAGTTTTTGTCCCCTTTTGTATGTGTAAAATTCCAGATTTTCTTATTTCAATTTGTTATTTTTGTGCTTGGTCATATACCTCTGTTTTCATGTTCTTGTAACCTTGTGTTGTACTCCTAAGCTGGCTAGGAACTCGTTTAGCTTTCGGTCAGTGAACTGTAGGCCGTTGTCGGTCAAAAGAGTGTGCGAGACGCCGAACCGGGTGATGACATTCTTCCATAGGAATTTTTGCACCTGATGGGCCGAGATACATGCTAGGGGTTCGGCTTCGATCCATTTGGTGAAGAGGTCCACAACCACGATAAGGAACTTGCACTGTCCTTTAGCAGTCGGGAAAGGTCCGAGTATATCGGCCCCCCACGTGGTGAACGACCATGCAGAAGGAATGCAATGCAGTTGCTCGGCCGGTTGGTGGATCAGGTTGCCGTGTTTCTGACATGGCTGGCACTTCTTCACAAATGTGTCGCAATCGGTGTTCATGGTCGGCCAGTAGTATTCGGCTCGCAGTATCTTTGCGACGGTCGTTCTTGCTCCCGAGTGAGTTCGACAAATCCCCTCGTGAACTTCTCGTATCACGTATTCGGCTTCGGTCGGAGCTAAACACTTGAGCAGGGGGGTGGAAAAGCCGCGCCTATACAACAGACCCGCGATGATGACGTACCGGTTGGCCTGTGTTCTTATTCTCTTGGCTTCGGTGGGATCGGCCAGAAGCGCGCAATCGTTGATGAAGGCCTTGATTTTATCCCTCTAGTCGGAGGGGTTATTATGGTCGTTCTGGTCGGTGTCAACAGTTGCTATCATTTCCTCATCCACACTCGGGTGACTGATTTCTTGTTGGATAATTGTTCTCAGTTGGCCCGGCTTTTTGGTTGCCGCCAATTGGTCGGCTCGTGCGTTGTTTTCGCGTGGGATGTGCTCGACCAACACCTCTTGGAATTTTGTCTTTAACTTTTGATAGGCGTGGTAGTATCTAATCATGTTGTGGTCTTTCACTTGAAAGCTCCCACCGACTTGTTCGGCCACCACTTTGGAATCAGTCAGGCATTTGATTCTCGAAGCTCCCATGTCTTCGGCTAGTCTTAGGGCGGTGAGCAGAGCCTCATATTCGGCTTGGTTGTTGGAGGCTTTGAATCTGAAGCGTAATGACTGTTCCAGGGTTATCCCCCTCGGTCCTTCTAAGATCACCCCCGCCCCACTCCCCTGGCGGTTTGAGGAACCGTCTACATGTAGGATCCACCATTGCTCCTCAAAGTAGCTGTGTGGGTGTAGCTCGTTGACGAAGTCCACCAGGCATTGGGCTTTGATCGGCCCTCTCGGCCTGTAGGTGATGTCAAATTGTGAGAGCTCCACCGACCTACATAATTTTTGTGGTATTTTGAATGAAGAACCTTTTAGTTTTACACTGTAATTTCTCTTTATGCTGATAACTCGTAAACATGTTTATTAAACTCTAATTCACATTATCCTTTTCTGGTTTCTAACAGGGCAAGATTTTATCCCAGGGTTTCAACTGCTTTCTTCATGAAGAAATTAGTTGGGAATCAACTTTGCAAATAACAAGCTGCTGTAGCTGATTGTTAAGGAAAAAACATCATGTTCTAATATATTTACAGCATATTCTTAGGACTGCTACTTATTTTGATTTCCCCTATTTTTCCAATATAGGCTACTACTGGTATTTTCAGAATATTAAAGTTACCCCTGGTAGGCAAACTAAGCTGCACACAAACACAAAAACCATAGAAAAACAATTTACGGATCAAGAGGTAATTTAACGTGCATTTAGTGTGCACACTGCTCTTTGACAACATAAAAATAATCTAGATGAAACAACTAATTGAAATAAAAGAAACAAAGAAAAAAAAACATGTCAAGTTTTATAATAATCTCAATTCAGGTTTTAGTTCCCTAGCTGAGACTATATAATAATTATAATATATATATCTTTTAAATCCAGTTTAATTAAAATATAGGTTTGTATTGATGTATGCCCGAGGATATATACTTGTTAAAGATTAAATATTTTTTTAAAATGAAAAGAAAAAATATTTAATATATTATATTTTAAATTAACATGATTTGATCAAAGGAAATAAATTCTTTTTAACATCTTCCAAGATAATCAAACTTGAAATTTTAAGTAAACTTATGAAACTCAGATAGATTCAAATATAAAAAAGTAGAGTGCTGGCAAGTGGAAATGAAAAGTATTACCAACAACTCACTTCACTATGACATGATTGATTTCTAATTTAATTCCATCGTAATTTAAAAAAAAAAAGGTTATTTATTTAGAGTTAATCATTTATATATTGTCAGTGTAAAAAAAATTTATCTAGCAACTAATCAAATTTTTTAATAGTATCATGTCAGTGGCTTATTTAATGAAATAAAAATAAAATAAAATAATTTAAAAGATCTGATTAGTTATTAGGTGATTAGCTCATTTATTAATACTTTACTCGAAGTTCTTAGCCAGACGTCATTAATTAAAAGAATATACTTAACGGAATATAATGAGTTAGTCAATAACCATCAATAATAGATAGTTAGATACGTACCCAAAGCGTGTGCATGTGATGTATGGTAGCATTTAAATCACCTTTCCAATATAATATTTTTTCCTCCACTCCATGTGTAACACATATTTGTCGTAAATTTGGTGTCTCGTTGACTTGATTAGAGAATGTGAAGCTTTTCATATTGCCACATGCGCTCACTACAAATTTCTCCAACAATGGAAACTCGAAGACACAACAGTTGGAGCTACAAAAACTTTCGAGTTCAGGCAGAGAACGAACCGGGTGATGACATTCTTCCATAGGAATTTTTGCACCTGATGGGCCGAGATACATGCTAGGGGCTCGGCTTCGATCCATTTGGTGAAGAGGTCCACAGCCACGACAAGGAACTTGCACTGCCCTTTAGCAGTCGGGAAAGGTCCGAGTATATCGGCCCCCCACGTGGTGAACGGCCATGCAGGAGGAATGCAATGTAATTGCTCGGCCGGTTGGTGGATCAGGTTGCCGTGTTTCTGACATGGTTGACACTTCTTCACAAATGTGTCGCAATTGGTGTTCATGGTCGGCCAGTAGTATCCGGCTCGCATTATCTTTGCGACGGTCGTTCTTGCTCCCGAGTGAGTTCCACAAATCCCCTCGTGGACTTCTCGTATCACGTATTGGGCTTCGGTCGGAGCTAAACACTTGAATAGGGGGGTGGAAATGCCGCGCCTATACAACAGACCCGTGATGATGACGTACCGGCTGGCCTGTGTTCTTATTCTCTTGGCTTCGGTGGGATCGGCCGGAAGCGCGCAATCGTTGATGAAGGCCTTGATTTTATCCCTCCAGTCGGAGGGGTTATTATGGTCATTCTGGTCGGTGTCAACAGTTGCTATTATTTCCTCATCCACACTCGGGTGACTGATTTCTTGTTGGATAATTGTTCTCAGTTGGCCCGGCTTTTTGGTTGCTGTCAATCTGGCCAATTGGTCGGCTCATGCGTTGTTTTTGCGTGGAATGTGCTTGACCACCATCTCTTGGAATTTTGTCTTTAACTTTTGATAGGCGTGGTAGTATCTAATCATGTTGTGGTCTTTCACTTGAAAGCTCCCACCGACTTGTTCGGCCACCACTTTGGAATCAGTCAGGCATTTGATCCTCGAAGCTGTGGCCACCCGAAATGAATCAATATTAGCACAAAAATCCAGAGTCTCTTGGTTAAAACTAGGGGATAGGAACTCAAAATTTTTCCATGGGATGCTAAATTGGAGACGGACGAAAAATTCATTAAAAGGCTTGTTTGTGGATGGCAGGTGGATGGACGACCCAAAACAGGTTAAGCTCCAAGTGAAGAAATTCTTCCACAACAGATTTATGGAACAACATTGGGAGAGACCACTTATAGAAGGGGTTCAGTTTAAACAGATCTCAGACAGGGAGAAATGTCAATTAACAGCAGATATTGATCTAGAGGAAATCAAAATGGCAGTTTGGGACTGTGATAGTTCCAAGAGTCCAGGTCCAGATGGATTCAATTTCAAGTTTATCAAATCTTTTTGGGAAACTGTGAAGGAGGATATCGTGAGAATGATGAAAGAATTTCATGCAAATGGTAAATTACCAAAAGGCACAAACTCGACGTTCATCACGTTAATACCTAAGGTTGATGATCCCCAATCTTTAGGTGATTACAGGCCTATTTCATTGGTTGGTTGCTTGTACAAGATACTAGCTAAGATTTTGGCTAATAGATTGAAGAAAGTACTACCATCAGTAATCGATGATAGGCAAAGTGCATTCCTAGAAGGGAGGAATTTATTGCAGAGTGTGGTGATTGCAAATGAGACCCTGGATGAAGTCAAAAAGGAAAAGAAAAGCTGTATATTTTTTAAAGTGGACTACGAGTTCTTCAACTTTGGAAAGATGCCTCCTTCCTTTGTTCAAAATTGCCACAAATTTAATTAATTAACAAAGGTATTAAAGAAAATCAAAACATATCAATAAAGAGAGAAAAATAAATACGTAACTTGCATTATACAATTGTATTTAACTTGTGGTTTGTGCAGAAAATGGTTATATTTATATTAAAGAAAATCAAAGCAAATCAATAAAGAAAAATAATATATATATATATATATATATATATATATACGCACATATAACTTATTGCATTATAAAACTATAATATTTAATTTGTGGTTTGGGTAGCTAATGGTTATATTTGTTTATATTGCTATATTGGCATCACCAATAAGTATAGTCAAATTGTTTACTGATTAAAAAATATATGGTAAAACTAATAAATAAAAAATAGTCAATTCTTTTATCGTGAATTATGACACAAACAAAACGAGCTAGTCACAGTCATGAATGATGAAGATTAACTATTATTATTATTTTGGTTAGAAAAAATTAATTGTGAAGGGATCAAGGAACTTGTCGATTCTATAAAACAAACCTTAAGGGAAAATTACATAACGGTGTATACAAATGACCTACTGGTTAAGAATGGCATAAGAAATGCAATTTAAAATATATTGACGGAAAGAATTTAGAGGTGCAAGGAAGTCAAAGGATTTTTTTTGGTATAATTAACAGTATCGTGACCCCTATGAAGTTATAGGAATTTAGAGAAGCAAGAAATCATAGGATTTTTGGTATAACAATATTGTGAGTTTGTGACCCTTATGATCGTGGTATTTGAAAGGCTACACACTGTCAAAGAATTTGAACGTAAAACTATTGGTTATGAAATAATTACATATCACATGTTGTTTATGAAATTTTTATTGAAAAAAAAAAAAAAACAAGTCTCATAAAGCTACAAACAAAAATGACAAATGGATGGATAAGATAATTTTTTTAGTCAAATTATAATAGGTTGGATAACAACAATTCATTAATCTATTTGGGTCTATTAAAATTTTATTTAAAAAATTCATGATTTAATTATGTTTTTAGTCTTCTAAATTTAGGATAATTATTTTTTTCCCATAAATTTAAAATTTTTGTTTTTAGCTCATGTAATTTCAAAAAAGAAAATGTTTTAGTCCTTATATATATTCTTCTAGTCCTTGAAACTAAAAATATGTGTTTAGTCCTCAAAATATAAAAATTATTATTTTTAATCCCTCAAATTTAAAATTTGTTGTTTTAGTTTCTATAATTTCAAAAATATTATTTTAGTTTCTTATGACCACTGATAACATGATTGACAGTATTTGATCAAGACAATTTTGTAGTATTAGTCAGTCTAATGTGATATTTTCACTAAGAATGAAACTAGTAATAGTCTAATTGACAATGATAAATTACAATAGTTATGTAATATTAGCAATAGCATAATTGACAGTAACAAATTAACATAATTTTGTAGTATTAATTAGTTGATTTAACGTGATATTTTCCCTGACAATGACACTTATAAAAGAATTTTGTACAACAAATTAATTAATGACTTTTGAGTATAGAAATTAAATAATAATGTATTTATATTTTGAGAACTAAAAACACATGTTTTAAATTTGAATGATTAAAAAGATAAATTTTAAATTTGAAGGACTAAAATAATAACTTTTTTATATTTTAGGGACTAAAAACATAAGTTTTAAAATTTCGGGACAAAAATATACATTCCTCAAATTAGAAGGATTAAAAACATAATTAAGTCAAAAATTCATCTAACAATGTTTGACTATGGATTATGATATGGATCTTTGAAGGCAAGAAACAACCATTGTATTGCAACGAGTCCAAGCAAAACATAATGGTCCTGAAAGGCTGAAATCACAGGTTTAGGGATGATACCATCCACGAACTTCTTATTCTTCAAAATCAAAGCTAGGTGCATCGATCGAGCCCAAGCATGTTAGTTCTTATTGTCAAGAAGAGAAGAAAAAAAAAACAATTGAAGGACTTTCATGCAGATGATGGTAATAAAAGTTTGCTGCACTGGTCAAGATATCAAAAAATAATAAAAACGAAGCAAAACGAATTGAGGATGGAAACCAAAGCTCAACTTTATATTAGAGCTCTAATACCATTACAGAATGTGAGTTTTTAACCTAATTTAACTCTATAAAATCATAGCTCAACTTTATATTAGAGCTCTAATATAGCTATAAAATGTGAATTTTAAGCCTAATTCAACCATTGCTTTATTTCTAGTTAATGTACGATTAGAGAATGTAAATTTTAGACTTAACTCAACCCTATAAAATCAATTTGTAAAATAAGAATTGTCCTACCCACCTGTATATTCTATTTTGGCCTTATCTCTTACTAATATGGGACTTAAGTTTTTTTCCAATACATCTCCTCACATCCAAAACTATGAATTTTGGGCCTAAACCAGCTTATAAAGTAAAAATTGTTCTTCATTTATATACTTTATTTTGGCCTTACTTTAAACAATATAAGACTTGAATTTTTTCTAATATATCTCATGCCAAACACTCTAAGATTTGGGCCTAAGTCAACTTATATACTCTATTCGACTTTATCTCTAGGTGATGTAGAACTTGCAATTTTTCTAATACACTCCTCACACCTGGACCTTGAGTTTTGAGCCTAAATCAATTTGTAAGATGAAAAATGTCCTCTACTTATATACTCTAGTTTTGTCTTATTTTTAGTCGATGTGAGACTTAGATTTTTCTAATATATCCCCTCACACCCAACATTGTGGGTTGAGTTCAAATCAACATGAAGGTGAAGGTTGACCCCTCATTTACATATTTTATTTTTGTATTATCTCTAACTGATGTAAGACTTAGGTTTTTTCCATTACATTTCTTCACATCTAGCACCACTAGTTTTGGGCCTAAATCAACTTTTATTTATATACTCTATTTTTGTCTTATCTCTAATAGTGTGAATCTTATGTGTTTTTTTTAATACATCTCCCCATGCCTAGTATACTACAGATTTTAGATCTAAGTGAATCATATAAAACTATCTTGGAAAATGAAGATTGCTCCTACTTATATTTTTGCCTAATCTTTAGTCAATGTGAGATTTAGGTTTTTCTTTGTAGTTTTCATCATCACAAAAATTTTAAATCATCTAATATCTGAGATAACATGGGTAGCAGCTACATATCAAATATTAAAGATCTGAAATATGATATAGTCCATCAACATACCTCAATTTCGATCATACTAACTTCCGTTGCAATAAATATGCTCTCCATCATCCTACATTCACTTGAGAAAAGGCTTTGAAGATTCATCAGACCTTTGGACATCGAAAGGGACAGTAGGTATCGCAAATTGCAGTTTGTAAGATGAAAAATGTCCTCTACTTATATACTCTAGTTTTGTCTTATTTTTAGTCGATGTGAGACTTAGATTTTTCTAATATATCCCCTCACACCCAACATTGTGGGTTGAGTTCAAATCAACATGAAGGTGAAGGTTGACCCCTCATTTACATATTTTATTTTTGTATTATCTCTAACTGATGTAAGACTTAGGTTTTTTCCATTACATTTCTTCACATCTAGCACCACTAGTTTTGGGCCTAAATCAACTTTTATTTATATACTCTATTTTTGTCTTATCTCTAATAGTGTGAATCTTATGTGTTTTTTTTAATACATCTCCCCATGCCTAGTATACTACAGATTTTAGATCTAAGTGAATCATATAAAACTATCTTGGAAAATGAAGATTGCTCCTACTTATATTTTTGCCTAATCTTTAGTCAATGTGAGATTTAGGTTTTTCTTTGTAGTTTTCATCATCACAAAAATTTTAAATCATCTAATATCTGAGATAACATGGGTAGCAGCTACATATCAAATATTAAAGATCTGAAATATGATATAGTCCATCAACATACCTCAATTTCGATCATACTAACTTCCGTTGCAATAAATATGCTCTCCATCATCCTACATTCACTTGAGAAAAGGCTTTGAAGATTCATCAGACCTTTGGACATCGAAAGGGACAGTAGGTATCGCAAATTGCAGCAATTATTCACATCCAAGTGTATCAAATTTTGAAAGAAAAGTCTAGTTAAAGGTTGGTCCTTCCATATTTTTCGGATTTTGATAGAGGACAGCTCCAATCTCTCTAATTTAAAAATTGCAACCTGCAACGACAAACATATTTAATTAACTGGTCTCCAAAGTTAAAAAATTTATTTTGATTTTCTCAAGTTTGTATTCAAGTTACTCGCAAACTATTTCTTCTTGAATTGAATATAGTATAGAATATAAGAAAGTCCAAAACATTAAAGATAAATCAAATCAACAGAACAATCACCTCTTGGAATTTTGTCTTTAACTTTTGATAGGCGTGGTAGTATCTAATCATGTTGTGGTCTTTCACTTGAAAGCTCCCACCGACTTGTTCGGCCACCACTTTGGAATCAGTCAGGCATTTGATTCTCGAAGCTCCCATGTCTTCGGCTAGTCTTAGGCCGGCGAGCAGAGCCTCATATTCGGCTTGGTTGTTGGAGGCTTTGAATTTGAAGCGTAATGACTGTTCCAGGGTTATCCCCCTTGGTCCTTCTTGTTGAAGATTGAAGAATCTACATCTGGAAGATGTTCCCTAGAAGTTTTAGTTTTGATGTTTTGCTCATGTTGCTTTTTATTTTAAGCCTATGTCAAAAGGATAATGTATTGATTGTTTAAAAGATTAGGCTTGTATGTGTTTGTTTGTTATGTGTTAAAAATTAGTAATTAACATGAAGGTGAAAATATCATAATACTCATTTTTCTTATTTCATTCATTGTTGAGAACATGAAGTATTAATTTACTGAGTGTTTGAGACTTTAAATGAAAACTTGAAAACATCAGAAATTTTCTGAGTTAAGGAATAGATTACCTGAACTGGTAATAGATTACCTGACTCATGTTGAAAAACTGATTGATACTGGAATAATCGATTACCATGTGTGGTAATAGATTACCAAACTGATTCTGATGATTTCAAGAGGAAAAATCGAAATTCCCTAGGCTTCACCTTGCTGTCGAATCTTCTCTTGTACCGTTGTTTGGTGGCCTCGGCTATGACCAATGCTCGGTCACAAATTTCTTCTATCACGTCCAGGTTTGTTCGTAGCTCGGCTTCATTACCTGCCTCGTTGAAGTGGACTCGGCGAAATGATGGCTCTCCGATTTCCACTGGGATCATCGCGTCGGATCCGTAGACTAGACGAAAAGGTGTTTCTTGGGTGGTCGACTGGGGGGGGTGCACCGATAGGCCCATAACACCTCGGGTAATTGCTCGGCCCATGCCCCCTTTGCTTCCCCTAGCCGTTTTTTCAATTCTGCAAGGATGACCTTGTTAGCCGACTCGGCTTGACCGTTCGTCTGTGGGTGCTCGACTGATGTAACCTTGTGTTGTACTCCTAAGTCGGCTAGGAACTCGTTTAGCTTTCGGTCAGCGAACTGTAGGCCGTTGTCGGTTAAAAGAGTGTGCGGGACGCCGAACCGGGTGATGACATTCTTCCATAGAAATTTTTGCACCTGATGGGCCGAGATACATGCTAGGGGTTTGGCTTCGATCCATTTGGTGAAGAGGTCCACAGCCACGATAAGGAACTTGCACTGTCCTTTAGCAGTCGGGAAGGGTCCGAGTATATCGGCCCCCCACGTGGCGAACGACCATGCAGGAGGAATGCAATGTAGTTGCTCGGCCGGTTGGTGGATCAGGTTGCTGTGTTTCTGACATGGCTGACACTTCTTCACAAATGTGTCGCAATCGGTGTTCATGGTCGGCCAGTAGTATCCGGCTCGCAGTATCTTTGCGACGGTCGTTCTTGCTCCCGAGTGAGTTCCACAAATCCCCTCGTGAACTTCTCGTATCACGTATTCGGCTTCGGTCGGAGCTAAACACTTGAGCAGGGGGGTGGAAAAGTCGCGCCTATACAACAGACCCGCGATGATGACGTATCGGCTGGCCTGTGTTCTTATTCTCTTGGCTTCGGTGGGATCGGCTGGAAGCGCGCTATCGTTGATGAAGGCCTTGATTTTATCCCTCCAGTCGGAGGGGTTATTATGGTCATTCTGGTCGGTGTCAACAGTTGCTATCATTTCCTCATCCACACTCGGGTGACTGATTTCTTGTTGGATAATTGTTCTCTGTTGGCCCAGCTTTTTGGTTGCCGCCAATCTGGCCAATTGGTCGGCTCGTGCGTTGTTTTCGCGTGGGATGTGCTCGACCAGCACCTCTTGGAATTTTGTCTTTAACTTTTGATAGGCGTGGTAGTATCTAATCATGTTGTGGTCTTTCACTTGAAAGCTCCCACCGACTTGTTCGGCCACCACTTTGGAATCAGTCAGGCATTTGATTCTCGAAGCTCCCATGTCTTCGGCTAGTCTTAGGCCGGTGAGCAGAGCCTCATATTCGGCTTGGTTGTTGGAGGCTTTGAATCTGAAGCGTAATGACTGTTCCAGGGTTATCCCCCTCGGTCCTTCTAAGATCACCCCCGCCCCACTCCCCTGGCGGTTTGAGGAACCGTCTACATGTAGGATCCACCATTGCTCCTCAAAGTAGCTGTGTGGGTGTAGCTCGTTGACGAAGTCCACCAGGCATTGGGCTTTGATCGGCCCTCTCGGCCTGTAGGTGATGTCAAATTGTGAGAGCTCCACCGACCAGGCCATCCACCCAGTAGTAGTACATACCGACTGCCCTATCTCCAAGGTTTTGAGGAAGCCCAAACTTGCCAGGAGAATGATGGCCTGGTCGGTGGAGCTCTCACAATTTGACATCACCTACAGGCCGAGAGGGCCGATCAAAGCCCAATGCCTGGTGGACTTCGTCAACGAGCTACACCCACACAGCTACTTTGAGGAGCAATGGTGGATCCTACATGTAGACGGTTCCCGACTTTAGCATGGAGTTGTGACCGGAGGTAACATTTTACCCATATAGAGGTTTTTTTTTTGATAACCATATAATTGGTAAAAAGTATCCGCCGCCGATTAATCTTCACCAAAGACAGTGAGTAAAGTGAATATTCCTCTTCCAACATAATTTATTCCATATTCAAGTCAGGATTCAAGCATAGACATCTTAGTTAAGGAACAAAATTCGTTACTACTTATGTCAACCAATAAAAATTTAGGTCTGTCAGACAACAGTGACCATCTCAGCCATTAGTGGACCAAGAACGATCCTCTACAGTCTCAGCTGAAGCCCCAAAGGGGCACATCAGACCCTTAATCATGCTCTGACGGTCATGGTTCATCAACTAGACGTAAGTCGTTAGAACTCAAGGATACAGAGGTATGAGCCTTTAGAACAGACCTGTTCAAGAAAGGTCGGCCTATACTAGCTAATCACGTGAAAAGGAATTATACCTCCTAATTAAAAAAATAAATAAATAAATAAATAAAATATGATAATACTGTAAGAACCAAAATTTTAGTTATATAATAATAAAGACAAAAATCAAATTATAGAGATAAAAAATAAAAATATAATAAAACCTTATTAGAAATTAAGGATTATTTTAGTACGCAACATCAATATATTTCTTAAGTATTTATCTATTTTACAAGACATCAACGCGGTTACAGTACGCAATCCACTAACACCACAGTTGCTTTTAGACAAACAATAAGTACTCATTTACTTTTATATTTTTCACATAACCTAAGTACACCTTAAAAGTTAATATATGGAGATATTGAGTTCTATTAGAGAAATTGATCTCTTTGGATAAATTTTTTTTCAAACATATAGAACTAATAATCAAACTCTTAGTGATATACTTGAAGATTAAGATTATTTATCAAACATGTCATGATATGCATGTTGGTCTCATTGGCACAACATCAACTCTAGGATATTGTTTTGTGCTAATATCCGAATCCATCGCGACTTTGATGAGAATATTCAATCTAACCGAGCATAGATATAATACCTGACTTATTAAATTGGATATGGGGATAAGAATGGATATATACTTACTCACCCTATATCTATACTTGTCCTCACTTTAAATTTTTAGAAACTTAATTTATTCTTTTTTATTATTTACTTGATTTATGTAATTCTTACTCTATTTTAAATTTATGGCAAATGAAACTTAATGTAATCTTGTATTGCTACTCTATGTTGAAATTCATGTTTTTTTATATTATTTTGCAAAAAAATATTTAATTAATTTTTGACGAATGCTAGTATATCTAATACCCTACAAGAACAAAGATGGCAACACAAATTTCATACCGTAGGATATGAGAACAGAGATGGATATAGGGTATGAACACGGGGAGGGGGATGGAAATATTACAACTCTGACTTTATAGCAATGTCAATTCAATTAGATTAGAGCAAGGTACAATTCCATACAAGTCCAAAGTCAACCACTAACATCTTTGAAGATTTATCCTAAGTCCTAGTCAGTAGGAGCAAAGGAACTTAACTAGTTGTGTCATCCTCACTGGACATGTCAATTCATAATTAAGTTTTGAATTGAAAAAAAAAGATAAATACTTGTAGAATGATTAGCACGGATTATTGCAACTAATAATAGAAATTAATGGAAGAAATAAGTATTAATTATTCAAATTCAAACATCAAGTACAATACAAACATTAGTTGACACAAGTCGTTAGGTAGAAAATATTACGTTGGGAGGAAAATACCAACTTTGTGTGCACTAACAGTCCTTAATGAAAATTAGTAACTGTTTTTGACGATAAATACCCTATACCTAAACCTTGGTTAAAAAAAAACAAGTGTAACATTAATTATAACAGAAAAATTGCAAAGGTAGACAAATTTTGTTGAATTGGACAAGTACATAATGAAAAAAATAATGAAATAATCTAATTAATAAGTAATAATGATTATAAATATCAAAATATATTCCATGTGACTCTATATATATAAATGAAAATAGTTATCTTGCACGATAATGTTTTTAAAAAATTTTCCTTAACAAGATTTTTCTTAGACATTCTTCTCAACAAGAAAGTTTGCACAGAGTTAACTTTTTATCTATTTCCATTAGTATTGATCATATTTATTTTTAATTAAATTTTAATTTTTAAAATAAATTATCAAAACTAAAAATAATCTTATGTCACAATGTATATTATTTATCATAAATTTAAAATATAATTTATATATTTAAAAATATTTATTTATATGAATTTTAAATGTAATTAATATTTTAGTATGTAAAATGCAAATCATAATTAAAATTAAAATTCATAATAAATAAATATTTTTAATATAAATTATGTAACACAATCGTTTTTCCTATATGAAATTTATTTTTATTAACTGCTTTGTCTGATGTTGTTTGCTGGTTAGAGAAGGAACAGTGACGAGAGAATCCTAAAGTTATGAAGTCTTAAACTTAATAAAAGGATAAAGTTGGAAAAGAGGAGGATAAGGTTAATGTAGGGTAACGAAAAGTGAAATTTCATATTTCATTTTTAAATTTTAAGAGAGATAAGGGCTCTAGAAAATGAGAAGATTTTTTTCTCCTCCAAGACTTCCAAGAACCCCTGATTTTTTTCAAGCTAGAGATTCAAGTCTTGAGTGGCTAAAGGGTGATCTTTAGAGTTGCGATTCCAGTAGAAAAGTAGAGAAAAGCTAGTTTTTGGGAAAACTTTCCTTCCTCGATTACAGCTTTTAAGAAGTTAATCGTGGTAAGAGAAACTTGATTTTGAGTTCTTAACTTATGTATGATTAAAGATGATGTGATTTTAAGTTGCATTGATGTGAAAATGTTGAGGGAAAATGGGTTTGGGTCCTTCTTGAGAAAAAGGTTAATTTCAATTTTCTTGTTGTTGCATGTGGCTAAATTTGTGAGATTTGATGGTTTATTGTTGGGATTGAGGTGTAGGTTGAGAAAGGGAGTAGTTTGGGCCACTAAAAATCCTTGTTTCTGTAGGTCTTTTGGGCTTTCTCTCTTAGTGAAGGACAAAAAGGGAAAAGGATGAGTTTTCGCTAATGTTTTGTTTGGTGGAGTGGGAAGAATAGAAGGAATGAAAAAGAATAGTTGAGAATTGATTTGATAAAAAATAGATAGGAAATAAAGTGAAATAAAGTAAAATTTATAATTATTTGATAACATAGGATTGATGAAAAATAGAGTGAAATTGGTATTTAATATAAATAATATTTATATAAATCAAAAGGAATCAAATTCCACACTTTCTCTCATTTCTTAGGAGAGGTTTTTAAAATTAGGACCCACAAAAAGTTACCTATAATTCCCTTCAATTCTCTCTTACCAAACACATTATTTTTCAATTTTATCACATTTTTCTACACTTCTTTCGTCTTCTCTATTACACCCTCTTTACTAATCATACCATTAGTGAAATGTAATGAACACCAAGAATCTTGAGTGAGCAAACCATTGTTCACTAAGCCAAGTACGTGCATGGATTTTGAGACCCTTTGGCTTCACTTAGGAAAAACTAGTTGGCTAAGTGAATTTTAAACTGAATATGTTTGATAAATTAATACTTGACATGAGTGGTTGTGAGTTGGAATGTAAGTTGTGGATTGTCTAAGGTATACCAACCTTAGTACTAGAAGGATGTGTTGTTTTTAGAGAATAAACGGTGGGTAATTCCATTGACGACTTAGTCTATGCATATTAATATCGTAGTAGACTCATCCAAATAATATTACACCCGACAACAATCAAGTTGATGTGAGTTGTTTGTTGATTGATGGTTATGAAAGTTGTAACCACATTGGGTAGAAGATGTTGCTAGTACACACAATATATATATATATATA